GCTTTATGAACTGCTTAACTTAATCTTTAACCTAAGTAAATTAGACAATGTAAAACTAATTAAATAATAGTTAAAATGGGTAACTGCTTGTTGTTACATTTTTGTTGCGTGCCATATATCGTACTCGGGAGTCTATTTTCATATATGCTTTGTTAGCGGACATTTGTTGGTCATTCGTGCGCGTAACAAAAGTCTCAAATGTTCACTGACAGTTATTTAGTACGACCCGAGACCCAAAATATTCTTAGAACATTGTCGGCTTCCAAGTCGTAATCGTTGCGTTTTTTCAAGAGTAACAGTACAGATGATACTATGTAGTAACAGTGTGGCGGCAGTGCAAGAACAACATCACCAGGTCTCCGTAGATGTCCTTTCGCTGGAAATCTTTGGAGTGTAACAACTTTTTTCACTGCGATTTTAAAAGCGTCGAAGCTGCACTTCAAGACACAATAGATCATATTTCTCAGGAATTCATATCCAATGCGTTTTTAGGTCTTGTTTCTCAGTAATTTTGATGTTTTCTGGTCGAGGAATGATGATATTCCTACGGAACCGTGCGGCGAAATCCACCATAAAAGTAGCACACTTCTTTGCTATTTCTTTGATCAACCATGTTGTTTTCAATCTCCCCGGGTAACTTGGCTTTCTTTCCGGTAACCTGGCTTTCTTTCTTCCAGTCTCTTTTTATCTTATTGCCCGGAAATTGAAAACCTGGGGGATCTGAAGCCGGACTCTCCTGATGGCGCGAAAACGCGGCGAGAAACTTAAAGGTCACCCAGCAACATAACAAATTATTTTGAATATGCAAATTTCAGCATCAGGAGAGCCCGATTTCTGGATCCCAAGATATTAATTATTTTCCGGGCAACAAGATTTCAGCATCACCTGTATTATTATACAGTGAAATGCCTGACAAAGCTTAATCAAAAGAGGAGGTGAATGTGCTTATAAATGGAACAGTTTCTTCACAACACCCTAGCTACAAACATCTGGACTATGTTGTAAAACAAGCAATTGCTTGTGATCAAGCTGTGTACTAAGGAGATGGCAACACTTTCTAAACGACAGGTACGTCGTAGGCTAGAAGCTGTTTCATGCAGAGCACGAAAAGCCTTATGATGCTCTGGGCTTTAAAGACAATGAGGGAAATCAATACTCATTAAAGATGTCACCTTCGAGTAGTACATCATGTGCTCCTCCCACCCCATCCCAAACTCCTGGCCCTACCCCTACACAACTTCCTGGTTCTGCTCCATCAACACCACCAAAAGTCCGTGGATCCACCACATTTACTCCATCTCAGGCCTCTGGTTTTATGACACCTACCCCACCACAAGTCCCTGTCACATGATAACAACAAAGATGAAAGTAAAAACCTGCACCTTTCCATCGCTCGCTAGGTCAAGAGTTTCAACACGAAAAGTTCGCGCAGTATCAATGTTTGCGAACTCAGAACCAGCTCTGACAAATTGCACACTTTCAGGCTTGTTACTGCTATTTCACCGTTTTCTTTAACCCTGAGAAAGATAATGTTGATTTGTCACAGTAGCTGCAAGAGCAATCAGCGGAGATAAGCTTACAGTAAAGAAACCGGCTACTGGAATATGATGTGAGCCATGCATTCAGACACCTATTAATTATTTGATTTCACCTAATTAATGCGACTACTAACAGAATGTCTCCTAAAAAAGTTTCATCACAGGCGAAAATCCAGAAAGTTTGATGACAAACTTGCAAATTTTGAAGCGCTGAGGTGTTCCGATTAAGCAGGAAGGTGTTAGATTTAAAGAAAAATCCGAGTTTTAACTTAGAGCTTTTGATAGACATGACAGGTTTAAGGAAGTAATTATTGCCGAAATGAATTCTAATTTGCGCCGCAGTTCTTCATTTTTAATCAATCAGTGGTGCCTGTCTGTCAGAAACCAAATATTTCGATCACCGAAATGGATATCAGTAAGTTAAAATGGTCACGATGGTGAAATTTAAGAAAAATTTGAATAAAAAATGACTTTATTAAGCGTGCGTTATATCCAGTCTCTGATAGGATTATATATTCTTATTGACCGGCAGCTTTTTTGGAAAATAAACAAGGTTCTAAAGCGCATACATCGTTCACGATGTTCTTGTCATTAAATGTTTTTTTTACATCACAGTCGTTCTTTCTCAAGTCCCATTATTAGATGAAACAATAATCGTTATCCACATTCTAAACACTCGACTAATCAACTTCTTCATGGTATTTACTGTTTTCCAGAGTTCCACAAGTATCAATTAAGAAGTACTCTAGGTAAACGACTGGCATACGAGCGTTTTCAGCCAATTTCAGCCCGTTTGAGACCCCTTACGGCTACGTAACAAAACGTTAAAAAACACGCACACATATCTGTTAGCCATGAAAACTACAATAGACCAGATCCATTTAAAATCATGTGGTATTCAGTGACTGGGTTAAAATCCCTATGGCTCAGATCCCGTAAGGCTTAGTTTAACCAAATTTTCTAAAAACACTTGCTATACAGGAACACAGATATCCCGTGTGCCTTATTTTAATTAAACTAAGGGTAATTTGAAAATATTTGCTAAAGCTATCCTCGCTTTATGATTGACCTGAATCTTCATTTTGAGTAGCTGAACATAATTTCAGCTTTTTAACTTTTTCAGCATTTTATCAAGTTTTTTCCTTTAAACTTTTGTTGTAATTGGTAGTTTTTCTATTCCTTTTGGTTTTGGCAATGGACAGCGAAACATCAATCCAATTACACTTCAAATTAAACCTAAAAGAATGATCAAGCTTCACGCTTTTTCATAATTTTAGAAAACGTTAGAAGGTGCAAGCTATCATCTTTTTGCAAATAAAACCTTCACGGGTTATACATGTAACTAATTAATGATGCCCTCGCTTTCTGGAA